AAAAAAAAAAATGTTTGAAGTATTTTATTTGTGTTGATAAGCAGATAATAACTAATTTGTATGTTTTTACTTTATATACTATTCTGGTTGTCATCTTCCTTCTTCCCCTTGACTATTCTAAAGACTATCACAATATATCTGTGGCTATTTTACATTTATGGGCTTTTCCTTACCCAGAAATCTGTTTCACTCCTATGTGCTGTACTTTCATTTCAGTAAACACACTTGTCATCTATCTCCTGTTGCCACACATATAAAGAATATTGCTTTTCATACCTAAGTGGGGCATAAAACTTCTTCACTCAAATACTGATTCATGCAGTTCTTCATATAGACAACTCAAAGTGGGCTATCCCAATGATCCACATTATGTTTCCAGTTTCACCCATACAGTAATACCTCTGTTCAGGAATGCTTCTGTTTGCAAACAATATGGTTCACAGACGAAAACACTGACATTTTTTACTTCAGTTCATAAACTACAATCGGATGACAAACAGAATCCAGGCCATCTTCTTCACAAAAACACAAATGCAGCCACCACCATCCCAACTGCAAAACAAATTAGAATTGTAAAGTGATATACCACTACATTTTCTATTCATTTGTGATCAGCTAATAAATTATTAACTACTTTTTTTAATGTGTACATTATCCTGCATTCCTACAACTTGCCAATACTTGAGGAACTCTAAAATTTGGGTTTAAATATGTGCTCTTTTCTAATCTTCAAACCAGGATTTCCTATTTGTAATATCTGCTTTATAGAGGTTCTAATTTTAGTTAATTCAGTATCTTCAAGTTCAAGTATAGATGTCTTAGCTCCAAATTATAACAAACTAATAGCTAAATAAAGTTTGTAATTGGAGAGAAATCTGAATAGTTCTTAATTTTGACTAAAGGTAATATAGTGTGGACTATAAAGAAACAATAGGCTTGGAAAGATAAAAGAAGACTTTTCAGACAAATATCAGACAGAATGACAGAGCTGCTTATGTGCAGCTATTAAGGTGCCAACCTATTTAGTATGACTGATTAAAAACTTGACAAAATGGGATACCAATTGTTCACCAACTATACTTTTTTCTCAGCTTTGACAGATCGGATTTCTCTTCATTATGCTATGCCTGGGCAGGCCATTATCATAAACTGTGGCAGTCAAGTCTGCAGTGGATCCGTTATTAGCAGCTCTTGGTTTCTCACTGCTGCCCACTGTGTCAGAAACATGTAAGCTTGTGTTTTGCCTCTTTCAATATCACATTATTTACATTCAGATTAGACTGCTAAATATTTCTTTGGGTAAAATAACTTCCATAGTTTCTTGTGCCATGACATCTTTGTTTGAGGCTGACCAAACAACTGTCCATGTCTAATTGGTTGGTGCTTCTGTTATTTAATTCTCCTGTAATCCTAGTGTTTGTGAACTCTGACTCCTTTAATAGACTTCTTAATTCTCTGGAGTAAGCTAGAGATCTCCCGTGGTGGAGCCAAAGCAATACCTTGAAAAGCCTAATATGGTCTTAAGGTTGAATTTTCCTAGTGAGTCTCTTTTAATTAATTCCTACCCACATGTGTAGGACTCCTGAAGATTCTGTTGTCATACTGGGCTTTAGACATCCTGGGGCACCTCTGAGAGTTGTCAAGGTGTCTAACATTCTATTGCATGAGAGATTCCGGTTGGTGAATGGGGCAGCAAAAAATGATCTAGCATTATTGCTCCTTCAAGAAGTCCAGACACCCCTTCCGATATTAGCGCCTTTGGGCCATATGAAGAATCTAAGCAACTCAGATTGTTGGCTTACTGGACCACAAATTCTTAAACCAGGTTAGTTATTTCCTCTCTTAATTAGGAAATCGATTCTATAACAAGATTATACTTTTAATACCTGAGTCTAGGGGAAAAAACTATAATTATAATTATATAATTATACTAATTTTATAATGTCTATATAATATAACGTAAATTATAGAACATATATCAAGGTTATTTATATGGCTATATTACTAATTTTATATTTTAAATATATTTTATTATATGTTATTATATTTTTGTAATTTATATAGTCAAGATTTATATAAAATCAGAAACCTAAATGGTGACTTTTTTTTTCCATAAAATGATTGTCTTGATGATGACGCCAAGGGTTGTTAGTGATGGAAAAGAAATAGGAAGATCTTTTTGTGTGGGTTGGAATATTTCCTATGCAAGATAGAGGTGACTAAAGTTTCAACTCTGCTAATTTTGGAACTGAGGACAAATGAAGTTTTTGTTTAGGTTTTACCTATTGAAAGTAATGAAAATCAATTTGAATTGGAATTTGGCTTTGTACCAATCAAAAAATTCTATATTTTGATTAAGTGGTAGGGTGAGATTCTAATGGCATGAGAAAAATAATTTTTCATCATAAGTTAGAGATACAGTTTTAAGTGATAAATCAGAATATAGTCATCTCAATGTTTGCTGATTCAATATGACCTATTACTTGAAGATTTATATATTCCATCTCTTATCCCAGGACATACAGATGAAAATCCAGAAATGTTACAGATTCAGGTTATGCAAACTTCGACCTGTGCCTATCTATACCCTGATATAGGTGGTTCTGTTATTTGCTTCATTGCTAAGGCCAAAGGTGCTGACACAATTATGGTAAGACTCTCATGCTTTGTTTTTTTTCTTTTTCAGGATGTTAGAAACTTTCAATGTGTGTGTAAAAAAGTAGACCACCTACCTTTAAATGATAAAGGTTTGCCCACTGAAATTACATTTTTAAAAATTCTGATCAAACTTTAGAAATATATTGACAATTTTGATATACATGACACATATTTTCCTCTCTACACTGCATCATTGATTTTAGTATTTTCAATACAAGTTAGGCATTGACATCATTCTCCTCTTTTGCAATATGATGTTCTTGCTTCTTAAGTCCTTTTTCTAATTCCCTTGTAAAATACAATTTTGTGGTTGAATTTACAAGTTTTTCTTATGCCAGTATATTCTAGAATACATTTGGTGAGAATGATTTACTTATGCACCTGTCTTAAATCTCTCCCTTTCCTGAATACTTATTACAACTTATGAATTCTAGAATTGAATAAGAATATGGGAAAAGGACTTAAAGCTAATTCTATCTTTGACTTCACAGGAGCCAGTGAGTCCGGGCAGTGCAGCTTTGTGCAGAGATGTGACTGAAAATGGCAGATGGAGACAAGTAGGCTTTGCCAGTGTCAAGGCTCTAGCTACCATTGTGAGTCCACATTTCTCCTGGATCTTATCAACTTCAGAAAAATCTGGTTATCCAATAAACCAGGCCATTATGCCTTGGATGGAAAAGCCAAAATCCTCCAGTCTCCTGAAACAATCAAATACATTACCACTTTTGTCAATACTGATTGCTGCAGCCCAGACAATTTTATAGTCCAGTAGCTAGAGTTGGAAGTGCTAATCTCTTTATCCTGAGAGATAAGATGAAACAGCACAAAGCAAAAGATTGACCTGTGTTATATAGTCTTTAATAAATAGAGTTTTTCTCCATAGTCTGTTCTTTTCTTACTGCTTTTACTTTTCTAAGACAAAAATATCTACCAGTTAAAGGAAAAGCAGTTTATTTTGGCTTACAGTTTGCAGAGATTTCAGTCTACAGATAACAGGGGAGAATGGGAAGGCACAAACATGATCACTGTAGAGAGCAGAGTTCATGACATAGCAGTGAGAAGGGGGCATGACCAAGGGAAGAAAAGGGATATATGTTGTTCTAGGCCATTCCCACAGTGATCCAGCTCTTCCCAACAGACTTCATGTTCCAACATCATTCCCAGCTATAAACCTATAAGTAGACTAACCCAGTGATGAGAATCACACTCCCAGGGCCATTCAGACTGTCAGATATATGGGTGGGAGGAATGACGGGAATAAAAAGAGACAGAGTTGGGGTCTTGGGATTTAGCTCAGTGGTGATGCTACCTGCTTCACAAGCACAAAAACCTGAAGAAAGAAAGGAAAGAATGATCTCCATGGTTAGCTGTCTTGTTAGCTAGCAAGAAGCATAGGGGAAAAGAGTGGTACATCATTCATGGAGAAATAGCTGTTGAAAAGATATTCTGAAAAATAGAGAACAGATTAAACTTTTACAAGGGTAGTGTGTGAAAGGGAACAAGATCTTCCTTTACTTGGAAGTCTGCCTAAGTTAATAAGAAACTAGCATTCTTTGCATTTCCTCAACAGATGTTATCTTGCCACGGGAGTGCTGTGAGTACAAGCACTCTCCACGCAGACAGAAAGCACACAGTTTTCTGTATGCTTTTCTGTTTCCCTAGCAGGTCACATCAACTTCTGCCATGTAGGGTGTAGTCACACAATCTGTTCCTAAAAATTCCTCCCATAGCCTGGTTCCCAACATTATACCACTATGATCCAATCATCTTACAAAAGCCCCACCTATGAGTGCATGAGGCATTGGGGATTCATCTAATATAAACCATAACGTTGTATTACTAGCTCTTAGAAGACTCGTGCACAACACTTTATGCAAAATGAATTTAATCTATTCCTGTAAGTTGTTACGTTCCTAATAGTTTTAACATTGCTGAGAAGTCCAAGTCCAATACCTCCTTTGACATTTAAAACAAACTCTTAGCTATGTGCTTTTATAAGAATTTTAAAAAAACAAATGTTTCCAACATACCGTGTCACAGAGTAAATATTTTCATTCCAAAAGGGAGAAATTGGATAGAAAGGAATGGAACCAAAGAAAGACCAAAATCTAGCTGGGAAAACATAAAATATTATAGCACTTTGTCCAGCATCAGGGCAGTTTATTGCCATAAATTGTGAACTTTAAGTCACTTGGATGTCCTGGATTGTATGGCACAACTGTGGATAGAATCCACCTGACCAGCTTTGTTAAGGCCTTTAATCTTTCCTCAGTTTATCCATGTTCCTGGCTTCTCCAGAGTTCTAAACTCTCCACTGTGCTTGACACTCACAGCTTTATACACCGCCCACTCAGGAGCACACTGCTTGGCCTCCAAGACCTTCTTCTGAAATCTAGGTGGAAGCATCCTTGATCCTATAACTCTCATTCCCTGTGCACCTGAAACCAGCACCATGTAAGCGATGGAAGATGTAGCAGGGCCCATTTGCCTTTTCCCGTGGTTCTGATAAACTTTTATCACTAACTATAAACCTACAAGGTATCACAATGTAGAATGGCTTCTGTTGCCTCTAACAGAAGTTTGCTTTGTTTAGTTCAGGATTAATAGACATCAGAAGCATTAACTACTGAATGAGGCATCTGGTCATCCTGAGATAACAGAGCACACTTAAGACCCTGAGGTCCAAAGTTCTGTAAATTACATCTTGTAAAAGTCTTAATATAAAAAGTATCCATTTCCTATGAACGACTCTAATTTCTCCTTCTTTATGGCTGAGTAGCATACTGAGGATATACTCAAGTGAAATAGATAAGTCACACACATGTACCTACCAAGTAGTTTCTCTGGTGTGAAAAATTTTATGTACATAAGATCCAAATGGTATAATGGACAATGGGAAGTAGGAAGAAAGGGGCTAAAGGTGTAAGGGAAATGAGAAGGGTAAGGGCAAGGAAATAAGGAAAAAGGTAAAAAACATGAAAAAA